TTTTTGCTAGTATTTGGTTTAGGCCCACCCAGCCAGCAGCAGAGCACCATGCAGTGCTCGCTCTCTCCTACCCCGACTCCAGTGGGATGGGGAGGAGAAAATACAACAAAAGCCTTGAGGGTCTAGACAAGAGCAGGGAGGGCACACTCACCAGTTATGGTCATGGACAGAAGACAGACTCGACTTGGGGAAACAGCATCAATTTAATTTAGACACCGTCACCACCACCAATTTAACAATCAAATCAGAGTAGAAAAATGAGAAACACAACCACATCTTAAAAACACCTTCCCCCTACTTCTTCCTTCTTTCCAGCCTCAGCGCTGCTCTTGAATTCTCTGCCTCATCCCCCACAGCAGCGCAGGGGGAGAGGCAATGGGGCTGCAGTCAGTCTGTCACATTGTCCATGCAGCTCCTTCCCTCTCTGGGGAAGGACTCCTCACAGTCCTCTCCTGCTCCAGCATGGCATCCCCCACACAGGAGACAGTCCTCCATGAACTCTTCCAGCATAAGTCCTTCCCATGGGATTGCAGCTCTTTGCAGACTGCTCCAGTGTGAGTGCCTTCTGCACAGTGCAATCATCCCAGCAACAGACTGTTTCAGTGTGGGCTTCCATCAGAGTCATGGCCTTCTTTGGGCACAGCCACCTGCTGTCCTGCACGGCCTGCAGGTGAGCATCTGCTCCACCATTAATCCCCATGGGCTGCAGGGGCTAAGCCTGCCAGCTCACCAAGGGCTGCAGTGGAATCCCTGCTCTGGTGCACCTCCTCTGCTCCTTCTCCACTGACCTCAGTGTCCCCACAGTTGTTCTCTCACATCCCACTCTTCCACTCCAAAACAAAGTAACTTGAACAACAGTTTTTCCCCCTCTTAAATATGTTATCCCAGAGGCACTGATGGGCTCAGCCTTGGCCAGAAGCAGGTCCAACTTTGGATCCGGGGAACCTTCTAGAAACCTCTTACAGGAGCCACCCATGTAATCCCTCTACCACTACCAAAACCCCACCACACACAAACCCAGTGTAGCTAGTGATGGTGGTAGTATCAGCTTGCGGATCATGTTGATCCAAAAGAACTGGCTTAGGGGAGAATGTTTTTGGTTCCCTTTTCTCACAAAAATTTTGACTATTCTGATCTTGTCCAAATAACTGAAAACATTGGAAATGAAAAACTGTTTCATTTTCTGGTTTTGGTTTTACCTGACACTTCTTTTGAATGAATAAAACGTTCTCAGACTTGGAAAGGAACGTATTTTTCTCATCACTAAGTAAAGCAACTTTTTGTTCATGGCAACACTCCAGAGCACAGCAAACATTGCATGAGATCATCACTGGTTTAAAAGCAAAATTCAAATAGAAAAACAGCTACCTTTTATGCCAGTAGTGTTGGGACACCATTAATCAGATCACATCTTTTGAAGAATTTGTGAAACCATGGTCCTTTTTAGAGCTTTAAAGCACATTTAATGCTTTTTATTTGTCTTCTTCTCCTGATCCAGTTGATTTTGTAGGCTAAGACTCTAGCAAACTAATATCACAGAAGAGTCTGGTTAAATACTTTTCCAAACTGATATCAAGCAATATGGTAACTTCTTTGAATTCCTACTACCAGGAGAAATATCACTGTCATCTCCTTTCAAACAAAAAGCCTGCCTCTAGTTTAGTCTTTCCCCCAACGGCCCCGCTTTTGCTGACTTTACACCCTTACTGTTATTTGTGATATATTTATTCCAGTAATTTCTCTGTTAGTCAGCAGCCATTGTGCTACAGTAATACCTGCCTTATTTTACATATATATAACGTTCCTCATTTTTTTGCCATTTCTCATGTTGTTACCTTGTTAGCCTTGAGTTGGCCTTATACATGCATATCCTAATGCTTACTTTACATTTTAACATCCATAGAGCAACCATAACATCATTTTATTCTGGTTTGTAAAAAGACCAAGCTGTCACCCTTACAAAAGAGAAAAAGTACCAGCTGAAAGCTGTTCGTGAACTCACAAATGTGTACTATTATTTTGCTCAAAAAAAGTAGAATTGGATTGGGACAGAATTCAATAATTCATTTACCCTCTGTTACGAGAGCTGCTGGAATTTTTGTTTGTTTCTTGAATTTCTGGCAAATCTGGTAACAAACTCCTTAGATTAATAGAAATTAGTTTGTTGTTTTCGAAACTGACCCTGTTCTCCTAAAATATTGCAGAAAATGATCTTTTCTAATTTAAAGCTTAATCTACAATCATCCAAATGATATCTGTTTAGATAACCACATCCATTTTACTGAAGCATCCTGTTTTGGCCTCTGCCAGAGACAGGACACTGTACTGCACTGTGCTAGAAGGGGCTACAATTTGACTTAGCCCAGGAATTCTTACATCTCATGTCATTTTTGGAGACATTCCTCAGCAGCTTTAAAAGGGTGGCTGTAGGGAAGAATAGACATGGTGCAGGACCAGGTGTGGTTTTTCAAGCACTCACTATGTCTGGAACTTCTTAAGATGATGATATTTAAAAAATATATATAATGTGTAGAAAAAATAAGAAATACTTCTAATGGGATAACCTTTTAATCAATCTCTCTCTCTTTTTTTTTTTTTTTTTCCCATGATACTACTTCTGTTCCTGAGGTTTTAAACTGCAAAGGAAAGCTAATTCAAGTATTTTAAAGTAAATACTCTATGTAAAATAACCTTCCTGGGTCCTCAAAAATCCCGCTTCACACACTTTAAGGCTTGTTGACAAAAATGTAGTTTCCCCTTGTCCTTTTTGTACGAGATTGACTTCTGTGGTCATCATCTCTGCAGTAGCTGTCAAACTGTATACTGCACTGAGGTACACTGCAGGAACACTGCTAAAAGCTTTAAGCACACCAATTAGGGAAAAATGAGGTTATAGTTTGACAGGGCATGGCTTAGTTTCAGTATCTTTCATCTTTACTCATCTTTTCTATTCAGTAGAGACACATGTGGACATATGGCCATTTGTGAGTTGCAGATATTTTTTTTACCATATCTTTTCTCTTCTGTAAACATATATCCTCAGAGCCAATTCTTAAACTCAAACCTATTGTTCCACTACTGATTTGCTAATATTGATTCTGAACCAAATCCATATAGTTTGCATACCTGAAAAATCCATAAAATGGCTTTTCCGAATATGGAGTAGTTGTGTGCAGTCTTTCAGAAGGAGGTGAAAAGTAAAATGTAGTAAATGGAGACAATATTAAAACTATGTCATAAATATGCAGATTGTAAAAAGAAAGCAAATTTTTGGCTTGCTTTTTGAATCCATCTGCCTATTATTTTTTTTAAGTTCAAACAGCAAAACTACTTCTGATTTAACCATTACATATTTGGCAAGCTTAATAAAGGACAAATCAAAGCTAAATCAGGGGTATTTACAACAACCACAAATTTAATCCAAAGTGGGTACTTAAACGCTCATATAGTTCTAAATTATGTTCCTTCCAGATGGTGAATTAATGTAATTTTAGCAGGAAGCGAAGTTGCACAAATATGCAGTATTTAGAACACTCACTGATTTAATGTTTCTGTACCCACCAAGGCACAGATGTTACTTATCATTTTCATGCCAGTTGTCTCTATCTTTCCCATTATTGCAAAATGAAGAAGAGAGTTTGTTTGCAAGAGCAAAAAGGGAGCTAGGAAGAACTTAAGTTGGTAAGCCCTAATTCAGAGGTAGATGAATCTTTTCTGTCCTAGACCTATTTAACCTTCACAATAATAATGCTGGTGGCCTGCTGGTGGTGTATCTTGCATTGACTACATTATTGCCATTTGGTTTCTGAGTAAAATCTTTGAACTGGTAGAGCTGTCACTGACTGCAATGTACATGCTCTCCTGTTGCATGCCTCTAAAGCAATGATCAGAGGGATAGTACAAAACAAATCTCTACTCTTAAACAAAAAAAAAAAAGAGTTCCTGGCAGGTTGGTCCAGCATCAGAGCAAGTTAGTTCCTTACTGCAGAATGTCTTGAATTTGCTGGGCATGTGTCAAAACCTCTCCCTTTTCCAAATGTTTTGCAGCAAAGAAGAGACAAAGACTGTGCTCAGTGCTACAGATTTTTTTGAGGGGTGCTTTTGGTAAGACATTGTAGTGGAGGAGCTGTATTATAGAGGGTAGATTCACACTAGGTATAAGGAAGAAATTTTTTAATGATTAAATGGTAAAAACATTGACAGAGGTTGCTCAGAGAGGTGGTAGACGCCCCATCCCTGTAAATATTCAAGGTGTCGGGTTAGATGTGGCTCTGAGCAACCTGATTTATTTGAAGGCATCCCTGCTTACTGCAGGGGGGTTGGAATATCTGACTTTTAATGGGCCCTTCCAAGCCAAACCATTCTGATTCTGTGACTGTGAAATTGCTGCTGATGTAATGTGTAAGACTAGGCAGTATTATCTGCTTCTGCAGCTGGAGGCAGAACTAAGGAGGGAAGTAGGAAGGACTTGGTTATTTCTCCAGTTGCCTTTCACAAACACTGGGTGGAGATTGGAGTGTTGGAAAATGTGCAGAAGCTCTAAACTGCACCCTTCTGTAGATCACCAGCTCAGCATTGCTACTTGAAACATAGAATCCACAGCTCTCTGTCCACCTCCTTCCAATTTTAGCAGAGGTTAAGTGAGGCTACTATTACTTTCCCTAGTATTCTATTTTATCTTTGTCAGCCATGCAAGACACAGACCTACTGGGGCTGCAAAGGAATTTTGCATTTCTGCCAGCTACTTGCCATAGTGAGGCACAATCAAGTAGATAGTTTGGCTTTGTATGTTTCATTACGTGTTGAAGACACACACAGTCTTCATTATGTTTCTCTGTTCACAATATAATGAAAATCAAGAATTAGGAGATAGTAGTATTAATAATGTGATAATATTTTAAGGCTTAGTTGGTTAGCATATACTAATTCACAGCACTACAGGATTTTGTCCAAGGCTTTCCACTGATTACAACAAATATATGTTTTTCTTCCTTGCCCAGGGACTAAAAGGTGACCCTGGTAGTCCTGGTGTGGCTGGTCCTAAAGGAGAAAAGGTACTTTTTTAATCTGTAAAGTTGTATATACGTGAGTGTGCATGATGTTTCTTCAATATTGAACACGTTGCCTTAACTGAGTGTGACAAACATCCCACTGCTGCCATTTGTGTAGTTTAAGGGGTGAAGAATATGAATACAGACTGTCAATACGGAAGGCAAGTACTCTTTATTACAACAACTTTTGTAAGGAATTCAGAGCAGGAGCCTAAATTTTATGTTCTGAATTGTTCTCTGGGTGCTCTGATTTGCTCCCATGGACCTGAAGGTCTCATGGTGCAGTTTGTTCAGAGACCTAAGTCTGTGAACATTTTACACAGTCATATGTCTTTGCATATGCGAGCTGTCACACTGACTTCAGTGGCTGCCTTCTGCATGTAAGCTGCAGCTTGTAATTTACCATGTGCAAACCTGTTTTGAAGGATTGCTTTTTTTAAGCAAGTGATTAATTTATGCCATGTTTTTCTTCCATTTAACCTGTAGTGAACTGTGTACCTCTACGCCATTACTGAAAAAGAATGCTGCTTTAGTTGTGTACTTCCATAATCAGAGCATGTTTGATGATTATACTGAATTTACTTCTGCAGTGGTGCATATCCTCTAAAATGCCTGTAGGTTAAATATGTATAATAGAGAGACTGCTGATTTACTTACTCTTCTATTTTAACTAGGGAGATGCAGGACCTCCAGGACCAACTGCCTTGAGCGTAAGTACATGTAAAACAAAAACAGACTAAAGAAAATCACTAAGAAATGTTGCCAGTTTTAGCTTGTTTGCTTGCAATGTAAATACTTTCATTATTAAATTTAAGAGCCAAGTCCCTCTCTTTAGAATGCATCTGCATTTTCTATATGAATTGTGAAGCAGGAAGAAGGGAATTTTATAAATATATAGAAAATAAACATATTTAAACCATCTTGTTTCCCACCAAATGGTAAACAAGGATTTTCTTTGTTTGTTTTTTTTCTGTGAATAGATAGTATAGGCTGGTTAAAGTGAAAGAATTGTTATTTTTAGTGAAAAACATTTTCCAGTAAAATCTTGTGAATATAATTATGTTAATAATGCTTTTAAAGATTTGTAAATATTCTGTTGTCAGGTTATTTTATTAATTAGTCATGAGTGTAATGCCTTATGTATGACACAGTATTATTATATATAGCATGCATATGTTCAAATTGACACACAGGACCCTATTTTCAGAAAGTTAAGAATGTGAAAACTCATCCAGCAGTCAGATAGATGTGAGGCTACCACAGCTCCTTGTCCTCAGGTCCAGCTGGTAGAGGTCTGAGTGTGCATTCTGAACGGGCACACAGACACACCGACAACACGTGGAGACAGGTCTGGCCATACATGTCAATGCAGATGAACCACTCAGCATTCAGGAAGACAAACAGCACCACCAGTCTTAACCTGTTACCCTCTTTGACTAATCATGGTCTGGTAGTTGGACATTTATACAGATCTACGATGTACATCACTCCAGTAGCTGAGCTGACACACAACCTAACCAGTAGATGCCCCTGCTCTTCATCTCTCCAGTTACTGAAACTTGGACATTCAACCCCAAAAAGTATGGTTAGCCCTTTCCCCAGACTCAGTGTTAATCAACTACTTCTACACAATTCATATTACCCTCGTAATCCTAAATAAATGTAGGATGATAATGGTAAGAACTATCATTGACAGCATAAATGATTATATATATTACAGTCTTTTCACTGTTTTTATTTCCAAGACTATAACATCAAAAATCTCCATTGGAACTGACAAATATTGAAGGATGTAGCTAGAGACACATACTGTAAAAATAAATTCTACTCTAAGGTTTCATAATTAAGCTGCCATGTTTTATGGTACTTGGTTTTTGTTTAGGAAATCTAAATATCCATATTGATTTCCTGGCGATAAATTAGTACCATGTCCCAATATCTCTGTCTGTTTGCTACAGTTCACGTCTCACTACAAGTAAACAGGGCAAGTTATATCCTTCAGCTCTTGAATATACAATCAAAATCTGTGTTCAAAGAGTTAAAAGTGAAATATGTTTGGTAAACAACCTTCATTCTAGGATTGTTATTGCAATGGATGGACTGGAGTAGATCTTGCTTCAGCTAAACTCTTACAGCCCTGAAAGGATAATTGAAATAGAAATAGGATGTTTCTGAAGATAAGACACAGGAAAAGAATTGAGGATGCCTGTTTTTTCTGTGCTATAGGACCTTTTGGGCAATCTTTGTGCCAGTAATGGAAAAATGACTACATCCATTCTAACAGCAGCAGCTGGATATGCTAGGCATTTTGAATGCATTCGTTGTCTTCAGTTGCAGTGGTGGACACTTAGGTTTCCTAAGAGTCATACTTGGAGGTATGATATAAAAAAATCAGAAGCTGCTTTCAAATTGACTGCACTTACTCCTTCAGTATCTTAAGTGATTCGCTTTCATAAAATGGACTGCCAAAGAATTACATTTCTTTGATTATAAAATGCTGTACGAGTCTTTCAGTTAATTCAGACATAGCAAGATGTCTGTTGGTTGGTACATCCGCTGATGGTTGGCTTTACACTTTTTAAAAGGAAACATTTCAATTTTAGGAAAGCAGACACGAGTCTTCAAAGAGATGTTACGAACTGATGTACTAAAACATGATTTTTGTGTAGTGGCTAACCGAGAGAAGAGACAAGGGTGAATGTGAATTGGTTTGGCAGTCTGAAGACAGATTACAGCACTGCAGTATATGGCCCAGCAGGAAGGCTTTCTCTCTCTGGCACTGTAAATAGCCATGCCTTTCTGTTGGCAACAGCTAAAGGAAGATGAATGACATGAATGTTGGTGGCTCAGGGAAAATCCTGTCTTCAGAGTTGTTTTATTTTTATGACTTCTGTGTGTGGCCTTAACTCTTAGGATATATAATCATGAAAAGAAGATGCCATATCTCGCTGTGAATAAGTAGTAGACCAGATGACATCAAGGTACATGTGTCACAGAATGAGAACTTACTGTCAGGGCCATTCATGCTGTTAGAGCTAAAATGTGACCTCAGTGTTTCAGCTGTGAACCCTATTAAAGCAAAGTTTTAAAATGTTCCATTCATTTGGGACTCATGCATAATGTCATAAATTTATTCTCTACTTACAGTTATTTTTAGTTTTTCCTAATGTGAAAATGATTTATTTCTTTTTATTGAAATGCAAAATGAATTACTATGCTGGGGGGCAGGGAGGGAGGAGGAGTGAAAATAATGACACAGAGCTAAATCTGAAATGCATTGAGACAGAGAGGGGGGAAATATTGAAAGGGACTCGGACTGGACAACTGGGCCTGGGTCATCGACCTTCTGCCCCAGTGCAATGGCATATTGAGACAGGTGGAAAATGATGGCATTACAGAGCTCTGCTGGCCTCTGCAGCTCTTCCATTCCTATTTATTTCCATAGAAATCATACACCAGTGGAGTAAGCTAGAGAAGGCCTACTATATATGCTGGTCTCAGTGTAAAGGAGGGTATCTGCAGCATTGTGCAGGGCTGGAGAACTCTCCCCTCACACAGATCTGAACCATGGCCCTGTCCTGAGCATGGGGAGCCTGAAGATGACAAAAGGCTGAGACTGCTTCACTGCAGTCATTCCCAAACTGCTGGTTGGTCGTCCTTTGATCTGGAGAGAGTTGTCTGTGGGTAATCTATAGAAGCAGATAACAAAAGTAATAGAAACTCTTGGGGTTTAAAATTTGTCTGGGCTGTTGGTACCTGTGAAAGTCTAAAAGGTATCAGTGACCCTGTGTCTAAAAGTGTTCAGACATCCCTGATGTGTAGGAAATCCCATGCTGCTCAGAAGCACACTAAGTGCACTCTGCCCTCCAACATGAAAAAATGCAGAAGATAATGAAGTTCTTGGTACTTGAAGCAAAAAGCTGCATTTTTACAAGTGTTCAACTGACATATATAGCCATTATGTAAGGAATGAGGGATACTTGGAGGCAGGATGTATGGCAGAATTCATAATCACTCAACAGCTGTAACGGCCCATCGGGTAGATGAGTTTATGCCAAACTGCAAAAGAGGGGAAATAATACCACTGCTTTTTTAAGATGCAGAAGTTATTTTATGAGTTTTAAATAGAAATTTATAGGCAGTACGTAGGATCCCGATGAAGCCAGTAAATTCAGTAGTTCCAAGTATATTTGATTTGTGCATTATTCATACAAATACATTTTAGTGGCTTTGACATATATGTGCCTATTTAAGCACTTTTAGTAAGGATGTACAGTTTATCTGTGTTTCCATGGAGTCAGCACTACCCAAGTCAAGATACATGTATTTATTTTGTCTTCTCTTATGGTGGTAGTTTTATGGGAGTAATCCAAAGTCGTGATTGAGTCTCATCTTTCTTTATGCTGTCTTTAAATTCTCTGATACATTCTTTCTAAACTGCTCTGTATGTACTAGATGTTTCTCTTCCTTAGTACTTTTCAAGTGTCTTAAAATGCATGCTGGAAAAATACTTTGAACTTTTTTCCCTAATTATGCCCACCTTATGCAGGATATGTTTAATCTTTAGATGTTTAAGTTCCCTGATGAATTGTACTGTGGATGGTGACCCTTCAGAGCATAAACATGAGGGTTTGTACTGCTCTGTGGTGTGGTTTTGTCAAGATGTGGAATTTAGTGGCAGAAGCTGAGGACCGTTTTGTGCAGGGGCACAGCTGGCTCTGCAGCTTGCCCGCTCTGGTATCCCCAGCTTAAGCCTGTGCATGCCGTGTCAGAAGAGTGACAGGTGAGGGAAGGTAGTGCAGCCATCTCTTGTAAAACATATGATAACTATTCCTCTTGACACTTGATACGCTGCTTTTAGTTCCTGAGGAAAACGAGCGTCCCTATGTTCCTGCGAACCTATCCCTTTCAGGAGTTACAAAATAGTCAACCAGATGGCACCAAGTGTTTACGCAGAAGCCGAGGCTTAAGTCAGTCACAGACAGAAGTCCCCAAGACTTGCTTACTAAACAGATAGTTGGAATGTTGGCTCCTAGGTCTGGTGAACTCGAGCCGAAGGAAGCTGGTGCACAAGTGGGGTGCAGAGGCGGCTGCGGGAGGAAGCTGCAGATTCAGGCCCAGGCAAGCTCTGCTGTTGCTTTTGGCTCTCCCCGACCTAAACAAACATCAGCAACAGATTACACAGCTTTCCCCTCAGGGCTTCAGCACTTACTCGTGTAAAGCTAAAATTCACTTTTGACAGTGTTGCCTAGGAATTTCACAAATTCATGTGGGTGCAGTACTTCACTCATAGTATGATTGTTTGGCATTTGTACAGGACACTGAAGAGATGTTTGGGTATCCCAGCATTCTTGCTGTTGTAATGGACAGCAGTATTTCCTGAAAAATCATGTGCCAATTTTTGTCTATCTTGACTTCTTCACATGATTCCTTTCTTGTCTCACAGTGGGGGAAAAAAAAAAAACGGTCATCTGAATAACTTGTATTACCCAAGAAGGTAACACACACCCCCAGCAGTAAGCATCTTGGCTATTATCCTCTCTTTCTCTTCATGTAATGACATAAAGGAGAGCAAGTCTAGAAGAGAAAGTATAGATATAAAATAGTATTTTCATTCTAAATCTCTTCTTTTCATATACATCCCCCTAAGAAAAATCAGAATTTTATCTACTTGAGCTTCTTATTGGAGATTTATCAATTTCATGAAAAT